TTGATCTTTTTCTGATGTGATGACACTTGATTTTTTAGTTATGGAAATTTCGTTGGCAGTGAATTTTAAAAAATTTAATTCAAATACATGTGTTGGTGCTTGTTTTCAAATTTATTGATTTTGGAAAAGAACACAAGCAAAGAAAGAAAGAAAGAAAGAAAACACGAGAAAAAAGAGAGATTTTCTGCCAAAGGATGTAATTAGTCCACTCGTGTTCTTGACTTCCCTTGACCTGACCTTGACAATTATTTAAGAGAGGCAATTTGTAGCTCTTCTAGAACCATTAGTTAAGGAGAGTTTTATCGTTGCGACGCAAGATGGCACAAGCCGAAACTCGTGATGATGGTTTGTTTAAACAAGATCTTAACAAATTCTAATAACATAAGTCTTAGAATGACAGATGACGCGTCAATTGAGTAAATAGTAATAACCTCAGATCCTGTCTGCGTGAATAACTGTTATAATGGCGATGTTTAGAGTGTTAACACCTGTTCGTTAACTCTTCAAAAATCAGACAGAGTGAATCGAACCATGCAGCCCATAGAACTGTCTGATTATGGCTGAAATTCGTCTTATTAAAGTCTACTTTCTCATCGTCGCCCACCTATAGATACTGGAAAACAAACGGCACATTAACATAAAAACAAAAGTTTTTTCTTTGTCGAACCGGTTAATAAATATAACATCCCACGCTCCGTTCAATCTATTATCTACGGACCGAATCTTATCGTAGTAGAAACTCTCTCCACTTTCATGATGAAAACGTGAGTCAATTAAATACTTTTGACGCTGTTCTGAAGTAAAGGGACACGTATCTCACCAAAATACCTCTATTTTCCATTACTGTTGAGATCGTCGGTTACTTACGTTACACACGCAGTACTTTCTAACTTATATACTGTATAACCTTTTTTGGTATAGCAAATCACCAGCATTATGGAGAAGTCTTTCACTGACTTATTTTCGCCTTCGAATGAGCTTTGTAAGTTCCCTCTTTACGTCCTTTTTCAAACAAGCGTAGACAAAAGGATTGAACGCAGAATTCAAAATCCACAAAGTAGTGAGGACATGTCCTCCTAGTTCAGGAATATTGCACGAAAAATTAATGCACAAAATCAAACCATTCGCCGTTACACAGCATCCCAAAGAGAGCAAGACTAAAGCAATTATGAAAGGAGCTGAGTTTGGCTTTTTGTGTCTGCGAAGCGGGGCGGCGTCTGTTGCAGCCGTGACTGATTGGTCGGCTTGGTTGCTGTGCGTGAGTTCGAGATGTAAGGCAGCTTCTCGGCGCGTTTGCTCGCGCGCCGCAACAAGGATGCGAATGATCGCGTAAAGTAGAAACGTGCAGGACAGTATTTGAAAAACAGGGATGCTGATGAGGAATAGGACTAATAATGCCGTGTGGGAATCTGTAATGTAATATCCCACAAAATTCGACAGTGATAATGCAAAGGCAATTAACCATGCTGTCATGACAATCAGTCTTGTGTGTCTCATCGTTAAAGAGGAATGGTATTTCAAAGGCCGAACGATGGCGAAGAATCGATCCCAAGTCAAGATGCAGAGATTAGAGACCGATGAATTAAGGGAGAACCAAAAAAAGGCTGAGACCAATCTGCGGTTGCATGATTCATCACAAAAGTATGCTGGTGGGAAGATGGCAAATCCAACCAAAAAGTCGGCCACTGCTAGGGAAAGAACGAACCAATTGGCAGAGGAGTGAAGTCGGCGAATTACAATAACTAGAACAATCACAAAACCGTTGCCTGCTACTGTTGAGATTGTGAGGAGCCAGCCGATATAGTCAAACACATTTCCGACTCTCATGTTAACTGGACGACGATCTGTTTTGACACATTCAGACGTGTTTTGGCCTAATGGAGGCTTTCGACGGAGGATTGTAGCTGATCCGTTTTGATTGACTTAGAGGACGTGCATATCTTTACATGTCCTTTGTACCTCACTGATGCCTTATTCAGGAACCAAAATAGCAGTGATCTGGGATGGAAGAACCTAGATGAAAGACATTGAATTGCATATAAGTTATCGGTTCAAAACATAGCTAGCATTTGTTATGGTAATCATACTATGAGTTGCACGCTCTCTGATTGGTAGAGAGTTCAATAATGTATTAATTTAATTGCCCCGAGGAATTGATCATAAAACTGACGCACAAAGACGACGAGAAAAAAATATGGCTTTTTTCGAAAGCAATGTTAGTCACTTTATAAAAAAATACCCACTTTCCTCTTGGCAGGAAAATAATGTGTAGAACCAAAAAGACTCTTAAAAACTGACAATGCAACGCTGTACCAAGACTAAAGCAGCTACTTGAGCCGCCTTTTCGAAATGCGTGATACAAACTTATTCTCACCTCAACGATTATTGCATACTTCTAGTTTCAAACCTTTCTTATACACATTCTACACCAGATTTACTAGATAACAACAAATTTAGACATTTGAGCGCTAAGTATGAAAGTTTGCAGCAACCGTAGAAATGTCGGAATCATTTTTAACCTTCCTTTGAATTTTTTGATTATTCAGGTCGAACTATTTTTTTGAAATAGCATGTACCTGATATGTGTCACTTACAGTCTACTACTCGTTGTGAAAGGGGTTACATAGAAAATTTCTTCAGTCCAGTAATCAAGATGGTTGCTTTGTTGAAATTTTTTTTAAACGCAGAATTGAGGCAGAACAATTGGATCAATATCAGTATCTGGGCAACTGCCCACCTGCCCCTCCCCTAACCCAACAACAGTCAATTGATAACAAGCTAGGGTTAATGTTGGGTTAGGGGAGGGGTTGGTGGGCAGTTGCCCAGATACTGATATTGATCCCAACAATTTATGTTTATTAAACGAACATTTAT